TCAATGCGATTAAAAATAGTTGCCACAGGTAATTGACTTAAACAAAATGACTATAACTCAGTCTATTTGCAAAGTTATGTTCAAGATTTGACCAAAATTATTACTCTGTCTTTTCTCAACATGGATCTTAATTTTAAAATCTAGCCTGAAACACGAAAGGCAAAGCGCATTCCTTTAAAAAATTTTAGCCCTTAATTGTTTTCTAGATTTATAGTTTACCTAAATCTAGAAAATAAATCACATATTTAGCAGTTCGTTGTGATTTCTTTGTCATCTCAGTCTCTTCATCAACATAGTCTTGCTCATAGTATTTCAGATAAAATATCTGCAGTAAATTGTAGAAAACTTGAACATTACCGACGGAACATGCAGGCTTTCTTCTGAATGCTGCATCATGCAAATCATAAACTGAATGCTCAATCATGCAAATCATAAACTGAATGCTGAATCATGCAAATCATAAACTGAATGCTGAATCATGCAAACGCCTGCGGAGGTCTCAGAAAATGCTCCGGTACATCTTAATCATCATTATGTGTTTCTGCTCATCTCTCTCTACTGACAAGGCTTAAAACACACATTTGCCCTCACCTCTTGCTTACGTTTCTAATTGTCTCTTTTCTGAGTCAACTTTTCACACTCAGTTTGCACGCATGAATTAATTTCTCTCATTTACACTTTTGTCCACGTGTATTTCTTTCTGTGCGATTGCATTCATGTGCACTTATGTATGGGTAAGGGTCAGTGGGAGTGGTGGGTATGTAAGAGAGTGACCGCCAGCAGTCTATATATAACTTCTCCCTCCTCCCCTTTGGCTCCGTCTCGGAACAGTGTTGAAATTCCAGCTCAAATCTTCTGGTCAGACCTCCACAAGGAGCCGACTCCACTTAACTCCTACTGACAACTTAAAGACAACCACACAGCCGCTTCAAAGGAGCACTTCACCTCAGGTCCTTTTGGTTTCTCTTTTCTCAGTGAGTTTCAAGATTCCAAGGTCACGGGAACTGCTGCACGGAGACGGCCTGGCAGGTCGGAGGCTTAGCAGAAGTTCAAGTAGAATCTAATAGTTGTTCTGCAGGCTCAGATAGCTGTCAGACATGGGGCCTCGCAGAGACTCTGATCTACCCGAACCTTTGCTGGAGCTGGACTTCTGGCAAACTTTGGATTACTTTTGGTAGAGTTTCATCACGATCAAATTAGGCTGTTTGTTTTGTCAATCTGAAGCTCTGAGGAGTCGAGCTGCCTTCACGTGGACACTTTCAATCTGGTTATGGCTCCTCCAGACTGGATACAATTTATCTTCTCGTGTCAGTTAGGTTTTATTTGAGAAAAAGCTGTAATCTTTCCCTTTTTTTCGACTGACTTTTTCACAAGGATGGAGCTCGACATTTTTAACTTTGGTTAAACTGTCCAAGTGTCAAAACCAGGGATTTAACGAGTTTCTCAATGGAGAAGTAGTTGGATAATCCATCTAACTGTTGCTCACTTCATAGACTATACCTGAACGGTTTTTTTTTTCTGGATTATGGAGGTCCCAACAAAATGGAGCAGGGCAAGTGTCATCAGCTTCATAAAGGGTCTTGGTAAGAGTATGCAAGTGTGCGTTTGCATCCACATGTGCTTGCATCGTATGAGGTCTCAGGTTTCATTCAAACACTTTGTCGTATGAGGCGAGAAGGCCTCTGAGAGTTAGTTCTCACCTTTCCACTGAGGTCCGGTCAAATGGTCATGAAAGCTCAATAAGGCCCAACATTGTTAACTCATAATTTTTTCAATTCAATTCAAAAAATTTATTAATTTCATTGAAAAATAACTATATACAACAACAAAAAAATAAACCAAAAAAAATACAAATCAAAATAAAATGAAAGGCAACAGAAGAATAATAAATCTTATTATGTCTGCCCCTTTTCTCCGCAGAATATACTCAAATAATGGTTGCGTTGACTGCACTGGTCAACATCAATAGCTCGCAGCTGAAACTGTGAGCAAATTTAGGAAATTTACTGTCTATTTTCAAAGCAACTCTTACATAACTTTCTAGATTCCTCTCATTCTTTAATACCTGTTTAATATTGCAATTTGTAGTAGGGTTGGGCACAATTGTATCGTGTGCAATTAATCGTCAGAAAAACATTAATCGATTACTTTTTGGCACTTGACAATTAATATGATTAACGCCACCAGGCAGGGTCCGCTCGGTGCTCCTCTCTGCTTCAGATATGATGAAYGTAAAAAAAAGTTCTGTAATTTATTTATCTATCAACACAATTTATAATTTGATGTATAGCCTGAAGTCTGTAATTTTGACACAATTTGGAACAGATTTTTACGAAGAGCAAATCTTTCCCACTAAACTGGTCATGTGACCAGGACATAAGGGTGTCCAGGGACTCCAGGGGATTAATCGTCAAATTAATCGTTATCGACTAAATACCATAATTAATCGGGATTCATTTTTCTGCCAATATTGCCCAACCCTACTTTGTAGGAATTAATGGTATCCAGTTTATCTAGTGATGAAATGATAACAGTGATTTAAGTGAAAGTATGCACTGGGAGTGTGAGTCTGTCTACTTCTTGGCATGTGTCCGCTGTCAAAGTTAAATACCACTGTTTAGACATGGCTGCGAGATGATTTCTGAAGAAATAATTAGTCCTGTGATAGATTTTGCCTTTGACATGCATCTCCTTCAAATACACAAAGTCAAAAAAAACTTCTTCATATTTAAGAACTTGGCGTATTACACATGATTTTACCCATTTTGTCACACAACTGGCATATTGTCGTTTGAATTTGGCTCAGCCAAAGTGAAACAGGAAGTAACATCAAAGGGGAACTCTTTAAAAAACTCTCTGGTCTTTGCTTGTTAAAACAATATTATTTGAACTCTTCTTCATCTCTGATAGTGACTCAAAATAATTTACAGAAACATCAAATTCTTCTCTACASTCTGTGTTGTTAGCCACTGTAGCAATGCTTTTGCCTACATACATACATTCCCTTTTGACATCACTTACTGTTACATCACATGCAAATATCTCATCAACTGTTCAGCTCAGTTTTTTTGCAATATGGTATTCATGTTATATTTCTAAAAATTTGTTCACATTTATTACAGAAATTTGATGTAACAGGCACTTTAAAATCAAAGGTCTGTCTTGGTTCAAAAAGTAGAAATCATCACTATAAATGGTTGCCTTTAGAATAACGCACTGATACAGCGGGTAAAATAAGTATTGAACACTTCACCATTTTTCTCAGTAAATATATTACTAGAGGTGCTAATGACATGAAATTTTCACCAGATGTCGGTAACAACCCAAGTGATCCATACATACRAAGAAATCAAACCATAAATGTCCAGAAATDAAGTTATTTGTAATAATGTGGAATAGCACATGGAAAAAGTATTGAACACATGAAGAAAGGGAGGTGTAAAATGGCATGAAAAGACAAGACACCAGCTGAACTCTCTCAGTAATTAGAAAACAAGCCTGCCCCTTGTCAGTGCAAGTTAATATCAGCTGGTTCAGTCCCAAATGATGGCCAGGTATCACACAAGAACCATCTGATGATGGGTAAAAGTAAAGAGCTCTCTCAAGACCTTCACAACCTTATTGTTGCAAAGCGTAATGATGGCATCGGTTACAGAAGAATGTCTAAACTTCTGAAGGTTCCAGTGAGCACTGTTGGGGCCATAATTCAGAAGTGGAAAGAACATTATTTCACCATAAACTGACCACGACCAGGTGCTCCTCACAAGATTTCTGACAGAGGAGTGAAAAGAATTATCAGAAGAGTTGTCCAAGAGCCAAGGACCACTTGTGGAGAGCTTCAGAAAGACCTGGAATTAGCAGGTACGTTTGTTTCAAAGAAAACAATAATTAATGCACTGAACCACCATGGYCTGTATGCACGCTCACCACGCAAGACTCCACTGCTGAAGAAACAGCATGTTGAAGCTCCTTTAAAGTCTGCTGCACAACATTTAAACAAGCCTGTGTAATACTGGGAGAATATAGTCTGGTCAGATGAGACCAACATTGAACTGTTTGGATGCCAGAATACACATCATGTTTGGAGGTCAAATGGCACTGCACATCAGCCCAAAAACACCATACCAACAGTGAAGTTTGGAGGTGAGAACATCATGGTGTGGGGCTGTTTTTCAGCATATGGTACTGGCAAACTTCAAATAAATGAAGGAAGGATGAATGGAAAAATGTACAGAGACATTCTTGATAAAAATCTGCTTCCATCTACCAGGATGATGAAGATGAAACGTGGCTGGACATTTCAGCAAGACAATGAGCCCAAACACAAAGCCAAGGAAACTCTCAGTTGGTTTCAGAGAAAGAAACTAAAGCTGCTGGAATGGCCCAGCCAATCACCTGACCTGAATCTAACAGAAAATCTATGGAAAGAACTAAAGATCAGAGTTCATAGAAGAGGTCCACGAAACCTTCAAGATTTGAAGACTGTTTGTGTGGAAGAATGGGCCAAAATCACACCTGAGCAATGCATGCCACTAGTTTCTCCATACAGGAGACGTCTTGAAGCTGTCATTGACAACAAAGGCTTTTGTACAAAGTATTAGATAAATTTCAGTAAGTGTGTTCAATACTTTTCCCCTGCGCCATTCCACATTATTACAAATAACTTCATTTCTGGACATTTATGGTTTGATTTCTTTGTATGTATGGACTTGGGTTGTTACCAACATCTGGTGAAAATTTCATGTCTTTAGCACCTCTAGTAATATATTTACTGAGAAAAATGGTGACGTGTTCAATACTTATTTTACCCGCTCTACATTGTCTATGTTGTGACTCATTGTAAATAAAACTCCCTAAATCCACTTCCTAGTACCATATGATTTTCAAACCAGAAATATAAAGTAATTCACCCATAATAAAATAATCACTGCAAAGTAACAAAATAAATTCAAATTAAAAGTAAAGCTTCTAAAAATAACACCTTTGCTTTTTTTTTTTAGCCTCTCCAGTGGGACTGAAGCCCCCAATCCCACCTGTCAGCGCCACATTGGGAGAGAGGAAGGGTCCGGTCATCATGGCGCCCGTCAACGTAGACCCAGAGAGCAAACCGGGCGAGTTCGTCCTAAAGAGTCTGTTCGCCAACTTCACCTTGCTCTCCGAACGCAAAATCCGCATCATCATGGCAGAGCCACTGGTGACTGAGTTTATATGGATTTTTAATTAGGGATGTGACTCAGCTTCTATGGGATTCCTCTCCGGTTACAGAGTCAAGGATTATATATCTTAGTCATTTATCTGATTTTTTTTTTGTGACTTTAAATGAGATCATGAGCTGAGTAATAGGTTTATGTGTAGAAAGTTGTCTACAGTAAACATTGCAGTTTTTAGCATCGTATTCCAGAACAAGTTGTAGTTTTAGTTTATGTAAAACACTTTTAGTAATTACTGTCATTCAAACAAATAACACATATCATAGGAACACTTTTAAGTTATGTTTTTTCTAATTTTAATAACATTTCTGCTGCCAGTCATTATAGCTTTACCTTTTGTGTGTTCACTTCTTACAGGAGAAGCCGCTCAACAAATCTCTGCAGAGAGGAGAAGACCCGCAGTTTGACCAGGTGTGCAAACATCACRTTGATCCGCTCTCTTTTTTTAAATCTAGTTTGTAACATTAGCTTGAGTAATGAAAGAGATAAACATCAGGGGGATTTAGTTGCTCAGTGGTCAGGGTCTCGTAATACCTGAGACTGCAGTTTCAAGCCCAGATCATGTGAAGAACAGCATCCGGAATCAAACAATTGTCAAATCTTTCATGTTTGCTCRCTGTGGTGACCCCTGAAGAAAAAGACAATAAAAGAGACAAAACTGTCTGTTTYKAAGCTTTTRCATCTTTCTCGTCTCTGCGCAGCTGATCAGCACGATGAGCTCTCTAGCTGAGTACTGCCTGCCGTCCATCTTGAAGACTCTGTTCGACTGGTACAAGCGGCAGAATGGTCTTGAGGATGAGTCCCACGAGTACCGACCCAGAGCCAACACCAAGTCAAAAAAGTGAGAGCACACAAGCAGCCCACTCACTTCTTCCACCTTGCTGTGTCATCATGAATGCAAATCTGTGTGGGTGAAACTTCTTTTTGTTAAGAAAAAAAAAGAGAACTGTGAGTTCAACAAAGTGCTATAAAACCATCACACATGAAACAAGTGGGTTTTATTCTGGTTTTACAATAGAATGCTGCTTTAAAACAAAACAGGGCTTGTTTCTGAATGTAAAACAAGCTGTACTCATCAGACTGGGGATCACGTAGTTGYGAACATTAACTGGTAACTCTAATAAGAAGCAGAAGTGTCTGCACGCCAAACACTGATGCAACAACAGGAACAAGTAGGAGCTCATCCGGGAGCTTTTACTGGAGGAGATCTGTTCAGGACAAACACGGCTGCAACAAATGAGAGCAGTATTGTCTGAGTGTTTCTGATTGTGTCTCTCTGTCTCAGTGATGAACAACAGAAAGACTACTTACTGGAGCGGAGGGATCTGGCGATAGACTTCATCTTTTCTCTTGTGCTTATAGAAGTTTTGAAACAGGTGAGGCTCATTTCAYTGCGTGACTAATCTTTTTGCACTTCACTGTCTCCTCTATTGACCTTTGACCCAAAAATGGTCGACTTCTTGTTGGTTTTAGGGGATACCCACAAGAGACTTTTTTTCTCGATTTGGGGAGTTTTACCCATGCCCCAAATTTCAGCTCTCTTGGACTTTCCAGCTCCTCTATCTCACTTTAGGTGGCGCTGTCGAGTCATTTGGCCACACCCAAATAGATGACTGCAAACCAAAAAAACTAACCACTTATGATGTTTGTTCTTGGGCCTCTTTAACTAACAAACTAATCATTTTGTGTCAGTCCTTTGTGTCTTTTTATGTTTTAAATAGAAAATCTGAGCCCACATACCAAAATTTGTCTGGCCCATTTCTGGCCCACTCAATGCACTAAACATTCTATCACTTAGCCCAGATACCACAAAGAAAAACAACTGTTTGGTAGACCAGATGGGGTTTACCAGGTGGTCCATTCATGGACCAGCAACACATAAATCAAACTAAAACCAGGCCAGTTGTGACAGATTTGGGACAAATAAACCAAGCTACAATTGGGCCAGTCATGGCATCAACAGATTTGAGCTACATAAACAAAACCACAATTGGACTAGTTATGGCATAGACAGCTTTGGGCCACATAAAACCAAACTACAACTGGACCATTTGTGACATCAACAGATTTGAGCTGCATAAACAAAACCACAACTGGGCCAGTCATGGCATTAACAGATTTGGGCCACATGAACCCAAATTACAACTGGATCAGTTGTGGCATCAACAGATTTGGGCCACATGAACCCAAACTACAACTGGACCAGTTGTGGCATCAACAGATTTGAGCTACATAAACAAAACCACAATTGGACCAGTTATGGCATTGACAGCTTTAGGCCACAGAAACCAAACTACAACTGGGCCAGTTGTGACATGCCATTTTAAAAACAATGCCAYTGTTGTCCACCACACCCAATTGAAAAACCATTTGCCATGCCAGCAGTGCCAGCTTGACACCAGATCTGGCCCACACCTGCCTGCAATCAGGGATCAATCAGATTAATGTCAATAATCAGTTATCATTTTTAATGTTACCCTCTAAAAATCTAAAGAAAACACAAAAAAAAGTAAACCTACAGTAAAATCCAGAGTTTATACTTGATGTGTGATGGATGAAGTATGACATCATTGCATTAACTAGTTGACTTTTGTATACTGTACATTTAGTTATACTTGAGACAAAAGAATTTGACTTATTTGTAATCAAGTCATGTTTCTATGAATATGTAACGCCCAGCTCATCAAACTGCAAGAATATAAATGAAGTATTTTTATTTTTAGATATGATTAAAAGTTATTATGCATTTAGTGAAAGGCTAAATTTTATTTATTTTTTTCCATGAATCCAGATCCCACTTCATCCACTTTTAGACGGACTCATCCAGGAAGTTGTAAACCTCGCCTTCAAGCATTTCAAATACAAGGAGGGGTAAGAGGCCTAATGAACAGAAACAATCGATAAAATCCATTTAATGAAGCTTAGAGTTTGTTTTGTTGTTATAATAGCTCTGACCAGCACTGTTTCTGTTTTTTAATTTATTTTTAATGACACTGATAAATGTTTTGACTTCCTAGGTATCTGGGGCCAAACACAGGCAACATGCACATCGTGGCTGACCTCTATGCTGAGGTGGTGGGAGTCGTAGCTCAGTCGAGGTACATGTTGGCTTAAGTTTTCATGYTGTTTTAAGGCTTTTAACCCAAATATCTGTATGATATTTAACTGTGGCAAATGCCACCTTTCACCTCGGCACGAGTGAGGACAGTAATGTCGTAATGGCAGTTGTTCTTCTGATCTGTGTGTGTTCATGTGTTCATAAACACTTGTGTGTTTGTGAGCAGGAGGATAATGACTCTCTAGATGATGGTCCTCAAACTGTGTAATGTTGTGTGTGATGAAAGATGAACACTGGTCCCATTTCGCAGGAGGTTATTACTGTTTTGTTAGAGTTCATGAAGCAGCAGACACRATTTACACACATCAATTAACACAGTCATCAATTCAATAATGGATCAACGTCAGCACTTTCTAGTCAGCAAACAGACTYGTTCCTTACCAGTTGATGAGCTTTTCACATCATTAAGACTCTTAATTGAGTTTTAACAATGGTATTTATTTAAAGTGGTTATTTATATGAAAACCTTTAAAAATACTGAGTACATRCCTTATAGACAAATCTGTTCTTCTCGTGTTTGTGTTTGTCTCATAGACACACCCTGCRCTAGATGTGAGGCAGATAACTTTTTCTCTTGCACAAGAGCTGYGTGAAGTGCACAAAAAGCACATGCTCTTTTTTCCCCCTCTGCATCACCCCTCCAGATGCCATTCTAAGTTTAGTTCTGTTGGTAAAACATATCTGGATCATGAGGATACACACAAACACACACTCAGGCGCTCACACCCATTCCACATAAAAATGCAGATTAAAATCACACAGAGTAGCTGATAAATACTTTTTTGCTATTATGTAGGTAGGCAGTAGGGTAACGCTTTCTTTTTATGGTACCCTTATTACCATGTTATTACAAGGTAATAAAAATGTAATTAAATGTTATTACTACCTTATTACCATGTAATTACAAGGTAATAAAAATGTAATTAAATGCAATTACTACCTTATGACCAGGTGATAAAAATGTAATTACGTGGT